CGGCACTCTAATTTGTCTTGTTCCTGTTCAGGATGACTCTGAGGGCCGGCTTGCACGAGCGAGCGAGTTCGGCGCCGTACAGGCTGTTGCAGGCTCAAGCCCCCCTGCAGACCGCGCGTCCAGACGAGTAGTGCCCGGACTGCTGGAAAGTTTTGCTTTAATATTGTTCGGCCCGTGTCGACCGCCCCCCCCCCCCTCTCTCCGGCGCAGCGGCTGCAAGGGACCGCACACAAACTAGATCTTCTGTATTTTATTTTAAAGGAAGACATTACGTTCCTCATACTTTTCTTTGGGGGGTGGGGTACGGACTTTTATACGTATTTCACGACTAAATTGTTGCCATGACCTTGGCTCCGATGTAAACTCTGAGGCCTCCGCGCAAGCCATCTATTTTTGGCATGCAAATAGGTGGCCTCAAGATTTGGCATTCATGAAAGGAACGCCAAAATATTGGCATGCAAACAGGAGGCTACAATAGAAGTTTACAGTAATGCGCCAGCCATATAGCTCGCCAATATAAAGAGTTGCACAGACTTTGTGCACGATCCCCCCGAGTAGTTGACGGGAGGTGGCGGTGAGGCTCTCACTCACAGAAAACGTCTGCCGCCCTGGCGGAAAGTTGCCCGTCCGGCCGCCCCCGCCGCCCCCGCAAGCCGGCCTCGCGCCACAAGCAAATTGCGCGCCCTGGACTGCTGCTGTGCTGTATGTCTGCCCCGCCGGCGAGCGGGGAAAGGGGAGCCTGGCAGGGCGAGAGGGGGGGGGGGGTGAGGAATGGAGGCGGCAGCAGCGGCGCATAAGACTCCCTGGAGGAAAATGAAATCGGGTTTGCCTCGGCCCCGGCTCGGGCGGCGGGCGTTGACGGGTCAGAGTGGATCAGGAAACAAGAGGAGATGGATGAGCAAGGGGGCCCGCGTGGATGGGGGGGACTATATTTTTGAGAAATCGAGCCATTATGATTATTTTTGATTTTGGACTCATGAACTTCACTGTGTCTTATTTTTTTTTTTCATTTTAGCAGCCCCCCCCCCCTTTTTCCCTTTTCCCCCGGCTCACCCAATAGATCTTGGGATGTTTTCCAATACTTCATGTGTTTAAACACATGTAAATTGTCTTAACCAATTGTCAAATTCTCATTCTCACTTTCACTGTTTTCATTTTTTTACTCATTTTGATGAATTTGCACTTTTTTACTAAAGCAAACTAACACTACTTTACTTAATGAATATGTTTTTCTTTCTCGTTTCAGCTATCATCAAAGG